GATACACGGCAGGAATGAAACCAAGGCAAAGCGGAACGGAGAAAAAGGAACCGTGAAGTAAACGCAAACAGAAACTCAAACAAAGCAAAGAGGAGATGGTGCAGGCACTGGCATGGGGGTTTCCAATCCTCAGCAGAACTGAGCCTGTGTTGAACAGAACCCTGGCAGAACGGGATGGGCTGCGTGCTCCAGTGCCAGTGAAGCTCCTCCAAGCCCCATGTGAATCTGAGTCAGGATCATGAGCACCACCCTTGCAACAGGGGAGCTGCAAAGGCATGCTGAATACTGCAGTGGCCACCTTGCAGCCAGGGAGGGAACAGCCAGAAGCCCCTGGGAACCACATCCTGCTCCTCACAGATGCTGAGGCAGGATTTTGGCTATGTTCCCTATGCAGACTAGTATGCAGTAACCTCTGCCGAAACAGAGGCCAACGACTTCTGTTGCTGACTAAGATATGTGTGTATGTCTGAACTGGTTTCAAGCCAAAACCTAAAAAGTTGTAACAGCTGAGGGAAAACACTGCACTTATGTGGCCAGATTAACTGAAAAAAAAATCCCCAAAACAAAAGCCCAAACACAAGAGGGCCATCTTGGCTCGCTTGCTCTGCTTTCTTTCAGAGAGACAAAGCCATACTTTGTTGTTATAAGCTATTCCTGTCATCTCTCAGCTTAATGCAACTTAATATGCCATAGAAGATTTTTTTAAGCTCATTAAATATATATATTTTTTCCTTCGAGCCTACAGAAGACTCCCCACTTCATGACCACAAAATCCCGATCAGTTTGCATCTAGAGCTATATTTTCCTCTGCGCTGTAGTTTGCTTTGTGCTGCAGAGTAAGGGGAAGCACCTGACCTGGCACATCCAGCACATTAACCGCTGTGTGCTGACATTCCCTGGAAACGTGGAATCAACTCTTGTGGAATCAACTCTTTTGGTGGCTGTGCTACCTGCTCTCCTCATGGGGGTGGAAGAAGCATGGCCAGAGCCCCTTGGTATGCCCTAAAGTCCCCCTCAGCTGTACAAGTTCTTTGAAGTGCTTTTGCACTAGCTCCACTTGATGCCCCTGTACACGAGCCTCTGCGAAACCATGCCCAAATGCATGTAAGTCTCTAGCTGAAAATGCTTTAAAATCTAATCATAGCTATAACCACTTGTAGCAGTCTAGCTCTTGTATAGCACCACACAAAACCAAAATACACCTAGAGAAAACAAGCGAGAAGAGACTGTATATGCTTGGTTTGATACATGCCTGTGGTAGAGGTTCTTCTTTCCAGAGATTCCTGGCGCTGTTGCTGTTGCTCCATCACTTGTCTAAAACAGCAATACAAAAACCCTCAGTCATTATGTATTCTTTATAATTTTGAGTAAAAGCTTTACACACTGAGAAGCACTCAAGCTGTATGTCTTCGGTGGTGTGAGCCAATCCATCACAGAAATGTTGACCCCTTGAGATGGAGGTGGGTTTGATTTCACTTGCCCTAGCTGCAGCGATGGCACTGCACGTGTTGGGGAAGTATAACCAGGACATTGCCCTGCACCTGCTGGACATGGCAGGGGTTGGATGATCCATTTAAAATAGCTCTTCAGTGTGAGGAACAGTCAGTGCCCAAGGCCAGGAAAGCACAGCAGCCATGAGTGTTGCTAACCTGAAGTGCATGAGCATTGCTAGGAAAGATTAAGGGTGTCTCACATAAAATGACACAGTCCTGAGTCTTTCATGATCAAGAGCCCACAGGACTTGTGTAAGAATGAAAACATAAGGAAGGTGTTAAGTGCTGACTGTAGGACACAAGGTGCACACCCGAGCCCTATGTTGGTGTTGCCAGGTTGGCTGCCAGCCTGACACACCACGCCCCAGCACAGCCTCTCCTGGACCCCAGCCACCGTGTTTCTTCCACAGATGAAAAGCTGATCTCAACACTGCACTGCTTCTTTTTGGGCACCTTATTGCCCAGGAGTTGCTCGCTCCTGCGCTCCCCAGGCCTGGTGTCCCACACGGAAACGCACCGCCAAGCCTTTTCCCTGTCCCTGCTTCCTAGAGATGTGCAGTTCCCAGGCTCTATCAGCAGAGGTCTTCTCTCGCACGCTGCAAGCGGAAAGAGCTGTACCTGACCTCTGCCACAAACCCACCCTGTCGTTTCCCTCGTTAAGAAGATCAATAGCTAAACCCTAGAACATTTGCCAGGCTTTTTTTGATATGGGCTAAAGGTTTCAACAACACTAAACCAACTCTGAAATTACCTTACTGAAGCACTGGGTAATAAGGCTTCTTGTAATTTTCTTCCATGGTTTCTAGGGAAAGTTTGCCTTGAATATATTTGGTCCAGCCTTAACTGCATAGATTTCTTCCTTCTGCAAAGGCTTTATTTCACGGTCTGTGCAGTGAGGCAAGCTTAACTGTAAGCAACACTTCTATTTTCACTCCTTACATAACATTTTAGACAGATCTCCCTGTTAATTTTTTTTACTTTTCTTATTCTGAGTCTGCAATTAGAAAAAAAAAAAAAATCTATCTTACTTACATGCCAAGAGCAGCTTTTTTAACAGGAAAAAAAGTCCAGAAATATAAAAGGTATATTAGGTAGGAAAAAAAGAATGTCTTAATTTGCAAAATAAATTTCCCAAATTTCAATTTAATTCAATAGATGGGAAATGAAAAACCACAATTTCACTGTGGAAGGATCAATCCTAATCTAGTTTTATGTTTAGGATATGCAGTCCATCAAATGCAGGCAATTTCTGGAAAGCTATTCTAGGCATCTGAGAAAATTATTCCAGGTGTAAAGGGGGCAGTTTTGATAACAGTCTTAGATGGCTGATTCTACTAGTTTCATTTAAGCTCTGACACTTTAAACCAAATAAATAGAAATCTTTACTTTGATACATACCCTGGCTCTTACTTGATAGTTATGGGCTGAACACATGCAACAGCATCAGCTGAACTGCTAAAATTTCAATTGTAAACACATGTACTAAGAATTTCCTAAGCATACTATCCCCTACCTTAGCTTGGCATTTATTAGCAAAAGCTGATGACAGAAAACAACTTGACACACAGATTTTAGACCTTAGACCTGGGGGAAATTCTAGACTTATCTGGAGGACAGACTTGGAAAACCCCAGCCTGACAGCCCAGGAAAGAAATATGAGTAAGACATCTTCAAGTTGTTACAGCTGCTGCAGAGCAGAAGAAGTGCAAGGTGCTCCCCAAAATAAGGGTGAGCCATTGCCAGTCCCGTCTGCACTTGGGCAGCAGTTTATACGTGTCTCCCACACTAAAGGAAAAAGGAGATGTTCTAAAATTTAGTGCTAAAGAAGTGCTAAAAAGAGAAGTTCCTACACTCTTAGGAAGTCAGTTTATTCCAGTGGAACTAAATAAAGCCTGACATTGGCACAAGGCTGCTTAAGGAGTGTGCAAGGAGTAAAGTACGAGAAGGGGACAAATTATATTCTGACCTAAAACTATATTCTTCTAACATTTGTGTAAAGGTCTCTAAACCCCTTTTAAACAGACAGAGGTGCAGGGTAGTTACCATAACTTAATTTTCTTGCCTGCTTATAAGATGTTCAAAAAAAGCTAGGCCTAAAATTAGGTCTGTTCTCTTATAGAAGGCATCAGCATAATTAAAGCTGAAAATCCTCCAGTGCAGAAGCAGTGCATCTACTGGCATAGCTTATTCCAGCCCAGTGGAGCAAAAGAGGCTTTCCAAGAACCATGTGCCCTGTAGCAGTCAGACAATACCTATGTAAAAGGCTTTTACTGCCTCTAAATGAAAAATAATATTTTTTGATATATATATATATTCTTATTAATGTAGTTAAGCTGCTCACACTTTAAATGTGCATGACACCTAGACACCTAAATTTGGGGTCTGAGTTACATATGGTCTGAAGAATCAGTGATTTCTATTGGTTAAATGAAGACCTGGATGAGGCCTTTCCGCCAGGTGGCAGGGAGAGGCAGCATCCTCCCACCTCTGGGTGAGCAGGAGCTCTCCTCTGGCCTTTGTGACAGCTTTGCTGTCCCATAGTAAATCTTACAAATCTCAAGTGAAATATTATCCGCTGACCCATTCAATAGTCATATGTAAATCCCTACGAAACCGTAGTCCTGGGATACTGCTGCACCAGGTATTTCTATTGCTGCCACAGAAATCTGGCCTGAATCAGCAAAGCTGCCATGAGATGGGCCTCATAATTTCATTGTGGAGATTCCTGCCCACCTCCCCTTTGATGTCAAGAAGAACACTCTTAGCAGCTAGAGAAAAGGACATGTGTGATAATGGCACCAAGTCTAATGTAAGTGTAAAGGTGAAGGGCATGACTTTATACTTTCATTTATTATTTTTGTTTAGAAAAAAACACTCATGAAAGGAACAGCATATGTTATAGGAAACAGCTACACACAAAATGGGCCTAAGCTATTACTCAGCGTGCAGTCCATCAGATGCTCTTTGGGCAATATGACTGTCAACCACCAGCAGATGATCCAGAACAGGAAAAGGCTAGGCTTTCTTAATATGCCTGAGAAACACACACTCTACAAATCTCTTTTAAATGTGTTTTGTCTTTAACTCTGAACATTGCTTGCTTTTGAGCAAAGAGTTTGCCTAGAGCTTCAGTTCACCTCACCCTTTAAAAGCCAATACAGAATCATCAGCAATAATTGCAGAAACTTAGAATCAGATAAAAATAGATACAAGTAAAAAGAACAGCTTATTGCTGAGCAAGGCCTGCACGTTCATCCAAGCTACAAAGTAGAACTCTACCGTAATTGATGAACTCACCTTCTCTGTGATTCCATCTCATCTGGAGATGGCCCATTCTGGACCTGGCGCTGGGCAGCTGGACCTACAGAAGAAATGAGAGAATGCTATTAGGAAAGCAAATGTGGCTGACTTTTCCAAAAAATAGTGCCACTCAATGGCTTCTCCATCTTACTGTGAGAGAAAAACCTCAAGAATTATTGTCCTCTTCTTGATTTTTTTAAATTCATATTTTCCTACTACACAAATCATAGCCTCCTATAAATCTTCAGTCCCACTGGGAGAATCCAATGCCTAAATGTGTGAGCAGATTTGCCCACTGTTCAGAAACCTGGCATCATCGAAGCTGTAGACTATATACTAACCCCTTGGAGACAGTGAAGACCCATAGTGTTGCAAAAAATATCCTATGGAACGACAGTCCATCGCACTGGAGTGCGTCTCTAGCTTCTGCAGGGTTCAGATCTAGTTCAGATCCCTGGTTTATTCTGTGCTTGCACAGTGATTCAGCCACAATACTGAGTTTATGAGCATACATGCTAGCTTGTGCTGCTTTGATGCTGAGCTAGTGATGGACACCCATCACCAGCTACCTGGTGACGCTACCTGATGGAAGGTGTAAGGAAATACAAAATTAAACATGCCTTGTACAAAGGTGGCTTTTCTTTTTTACAATGCTGTCAGTCTTCTGCTTCTGCAAGATCCACATCAAGGTGAGCTTTCACTGGTATTCACCAACGAAACCCAAGTATGCATGTTGCCCTTTAATTCACATCTCCTCTGTTGACTCTGATCATTTAATCTCTGTTCTTGGACATTTAATCAAGTGTACTGACACTACATGCTATTTTCAGAAATATTTATTCTGAAAATAACAATAATTCTTGGTAACATAAGCGACAGTGGTCCTGCATTTGGTGGAAGGAGGATTGTTCCATTAATTTGAAGAGGGGTTTCAAGTGGGACTAAAGAGAGGAGAGTTCTAGTAAATGCAACAGCAATATTCCTGATAAACAGCACTGAGAAACAGGTCACTTATATGCTCGAAAGTATTATGTCTATCTTATTCCTTTCATTTTCAAATGTAAAGTTTCATCCTTTTAAAACTTATCCAACAAGAATTAAACACAAACCCAAATATGTCACTCACAAATTGTTAAGGATATTTCTCTCCAGTTTCTTTACATGTTTCTGCCAGGCAGAATGTCATCTGGAAACTAATTTAGAAAGTATGACTGTGTGAAAACTGGCAAGATGGCAGAAATGCATCGCAGTCAGAAATTCCAGAGCTGACTGATCCTGATGAAATTGTGCATATTTTTGAAATGTATTTAAGGACTAACATTTGCAGAAAGGGAACACAGCATTTTCTGGAAGTAGGGCCCATGTATTCCAGTTTTGGGTATCCCAAAAATGGAGCCAGTGACAACCACTGAGTCAAATGCTCTGACATTTAAAAATACCTTTGGATTGGGCATGAAGTGAAGACATTTCACTTCTTTTATGTCTCATGACTGACAATATCATTTACCACAGGCCTTCAGCAAGCTGTTTAGACAGAAATGCCACATTTTGTAAAGATCACATGAAACAGTGAAGCGGGGGGGATTAGCTTTTTTGGAAGCAAGCCTCAGGAAAGAAAATTTGCAGGTGTTTGGGAAGCACAGAGCAGGAGGCTCGCATGTTTAAGGTGTAACCAGGATGTCATGTTACTGTGTAAATGCTTGTACTGTGCATCTTCACCACTGAAGCGAAAGAAGGCCAGAGCTACCCCTGAGCAGCAGTTAACAGTGTGAATGTAAACAACTTGTGACTTCAGTAGAAAGACAGGTAAGGAATTGATCCAGACTCTACACAGTTATTAGTATCACTGTTTTGGATCCTGGCTCTGGTGTGTGCAGGTAACATGCACGTTCACAAGCACATAACTGTGACATACTTCAATAAACATACTTCCAGGTGAAGGATGTTCAAGGTTTAAGTCAGTTACATTTTCCTCACTGGGCAACAAATTCCACCATGAAAAGCCTTACCATGCTCATCTCTGCATATGATTTAATCACAAATGATTTCCTCTGTATAAGGACTCAGAGTATCATACAGAAGATGGCACCTTGATGGAAAGAGGGCTAAAAGGCCAGAGGATGACACAGCAGAAACAACAATTATTCCCTGGCTATAAATCATGTCAAAGTGTATAGGACGCTCTAATGATGCCATCTTAATCCAGTACTTTGACATGAGTCTTCTCTTGGGGCCAAACGCCCAGAAAAATAAGGCAGTATGGCCAGTTTGACTAATACTAGACACACAGAAGGAATCAAACACCAGACTATCAATACCACATAAAAAAATCCAACTTCTTTTTTCCTGTGGGCACTGTCATGAATTGGATATATAAGATGAAAATCATACAAACCCAACCAAAAGAAAAGGAAAGAAGCTACTTAAGACCTGACTCAGTAAATAGACATTTGAAAAATCTTTGTATAAGTGGTGACAAATTTGCAGGTATTTTTATTTGCACTTTAATTTAAAAAGCCAGACAACTTTTTAGATGCACATGTATGAATGTATGACCCCCAAAGCAACTTAATTCTTTCACCAATATCTTGAGCATGTGTGAGAGACTGAACTAAAATCAGACTCCATTGTCCCTTGTCTCAAAGATTGGTACAAGAAGCTGAGTTCCACTATCTTGAACATGGGTGTGAGAAGCTGAGATGGGACTCCACTGTCTATTGTCTGACAGATGGATGTGAGCAGCTGAGATGGGACTCCATTATCTCAAGGACTGGTGTGAGGAATTGTTGCCCATTATCTCCAGGATTGACGCAGACATGTGCAGTTGAAGAGCTGGCAGCAAGACCAGCGAAACTGGTCCACCAGGAATGGGCAGCACATGACATTAAGAACAGAAGTACTCCCACCAACACATAACAAAAGGGAAAAAGGTCATCTCCATGCGGGACAGGCTCCACTGATGGCGACTATGGACCCTGGGGGACTCCCACCAGTGAAGACGATGACTACAGACCCTTGGCAAACCGCTGGATCCTCGGTGGTAACTATCTTTCTGCACTCTGAATGCTTGCTTAATTTCTATCTTTTTTCTGATCTGTCCTATCACAATTTTTTTTATAATAATTTCCTTTTTTATCATAATTGTCTTTTTATAACAAACTGATTGATTGTGGTACTTGACCTCATTTGGATCTTAATTTCACTCTGGGAATCATGAACGCAATAGGTCTGACACTGGGTTTTTTCTGACCCTGACATGTAACAAGATTTCTGAGTAATGACTAATTCCTCTTTTACAAGTTTGGATATCTTACTCAATCAACACACTGCAGTAAACCATCATTCATTTATTTAAATCTTTTCCAAACTCATTTTACTTCTATTTCACTAGTGACCAGTAGTGAGAAGTAAACTGCATTCACTGCATATACCCCATCCTATTTTAAATGTCCTCTTCTGCACATTAGTTTTGTTTAACACAATTTTCTTCTCCAAGTGCTTTAGCAGCGAAGTACCTTAACAAAGTCAGGAGGCAGAAAAAGGCAAGCATGAACAGAAAAGGAGGACTGAAGCTGTAACAGGTAGCTTATCCTCTCTCCTGAGTAAAACAAGAAGCTGTGGGGTAAAAGTTGGTAAGATAATGCTACCTGAGGAAAAGCCTGGACCAGCTGCTGAGGTCAATCTCAGCCTGTGGGAACAGGGATACCTGTTTGCATTGACTGAGAGTGGTTGGAAAAATTTGAGGGAAGTTGCATGTGGACACCAGGGTGTTAAGGGCAGTCACACTCCAGTGGGCTTACAGCTCTTCTTGCCACCACGGAGGAAACGCACCAGTTCTGTTTGGCACTGGTTGTTTTATATGAGTTACTCATGACTATAAGCAATAATTCCTTCTGGTATCCTGCTCGTGATCTTTTTCAAACAAAGCATTTTTATACAGTAATATGAAGTCTTCATTTGCAAACCCTAAAGTAAAAGGTTGGATGTTTTCTGTTTTGGCCTGCCCTGATTTTGCCTGAGAGTGGGCAATAGATCTAAAAGTCCAACCCAAGCTTTTGGGTCTGTTCATTGCCAGAAACATAAATTCTACTGGATTTTTCTCCCATTCTAATCCTGACTTCTCAGCAGACCCAGGCAAAACACCATCTGATGTGAATTCTGAAAACTTCAGTCTCTGTAATGGTGAAGCTTCTTGTTTCTCTCATCCTTGAACTTGCTCTTAGCCTGCTCAGCCAAAGCTCATACCAATACTGAAAGGCAGGGTTTATTTTTATGCTTGGTTCCCTATGTGTATTCTCTGCAGTGCATATACAGCAGACACCTGTTTGACTGAGGGTTTTTTAAACACAAGTGGATTTCTAGGTTTAACTCCTCTCCAAGTTTTTAGATATTTCTCAGACCTGGGGAGACATGAAGTGTAAGTACTCTTGGTGTTGGCATCCTTGCTTAGAGATGCTTCTCCATTTGCCCTGTGAGATACTTCTGACCCTGACAGCTTTTGAGATCATTCTCAAAGAGAAAAGTGCTTCTCAGCACCATAACCAGGAGAGTCTATTTTGCTACTGACCAGTTTGCAGCTTCACAGCTGTTGCAATCTACATTTTAGCAACTAATTAATGCAGGAGATACGCTGTGAATGTCTGTGTTTCCTCATTTCCTTGATTAGTAATAATTAACCACGTTTTTATGTAAGCATCTTGTGATTCAGCTCAAGGCAAACTTGGGAGCACACAGTTTCCATGTTTGCTCTTCCTCCTCCTGCTCCTCCACATCAGCACTGGCTCTGCCCGTCCCCAGCTTGTCCTTAAAGACAGTGATGGGGAACTCCTGGCACAAGGCACTGCTTCACAGTGGGAGTGATGGTTTCCATATGCCGGTGGCCAGTCCTGCACTACTGCAACCTACTACTGCTTAGAGATGTCTGGACTCACGGCTAGTCACAAAACAGGATCAAAGCTGTCACTGAGGGAGAACCCATGCTCCGGTTTCCACTCTGTTATAGTTGTGGCAGGAAGGCACAAGAAGACAGGAACAATGTCATCATTTTTCTCCTGCTGGGAGAGCCCCAAGCAGTATTTCTTTTTCCTCTTTTACTTACGCTACGACAGCGAACACTCCTGATTGTATGTACTCAAGAAAACGGCAAAGGTAGGCCCATTTCCATTAGGAACCAGGATTTTGTGCTTCTTCAATACAGAAGGTCCATTCTAACCCATTTACAAATGTTTTATTCATTATAGACACTGGATGCAGACCAAGGTAGGGTTTCTGCAACCCCTATAGCCTCCATGGTGCTTATGGATCAGTGTGATGAATGTGGTGGGCTAAGGAAAGGGTCCCGAGTCAGAGCCAAGTAAGAAATATATCTGAGTTTTAAATTCATGAGATGGAAAATTTTTGTTCTGCATATGAGCAGAACAGGATGATTTTGTGTGAATAAAAAAAAATACCAAGAGCAGACCACAGGAGGAAAAGAAGTGAGAGACAGACAGACAGACAGCTCTCCCTCATTGCTTGATGGTTTCAGCAGGTACTTGGATTGTGGACGATTCAGGTTCAGGCACCAGGTCCAACCCATTGTCGTTTGTATCCCAGGGATGTGACAGAAGAAAAAAATGGTGCGTGAAAAGCATTTCTGACCAATTCTAATCCCAGTGTCCTCTTTCAGGTATGGCCTGGGCCATGGTTCCTCGTGTCAGGGCACTGGGGAGGAGCCCTGGACAGGCTGCAGCCAGCTCCTGGGGCCAACCTGCAAACGCACGCCAGGACTCAGCTGGGTGGTGCATTTTGCTGTCTTCACCATAACCTCTCCCCTTCACCTCCACAAACTTGGGGGTGTTCCTTGGCCCCGGCAGTGCTGCTGCTTGATCCCCTCAACCATCCCACAGCACCCCGCAGCCTTGCAATGTGGGTGTGTGGTCAAGTGGGCTCCGGCTGGAGGGGAGAAGTTATGTGCCTCTCCTTCACCACTGCTTCCCTCCATCCACAGCCTGGCTGTAATTTTAGCTCTCTTGCTGTTGTTGTTGGGCAATCACACTGCTTCTGCCAGCACTGCCAGCACCTTAAACATCTGCCTCTGTGCTGAGGACCTCAACCTGCTCTTGTCCCCTTCAGTCTGCCCTGATGGGGACTGCACAAGCCAGAGACATCCTGGCACAGCCACATGCCACAGTCAGTGCCCACTGA